ACAAGTTTCAAAATCTCCCCTCCCCCCCCCGCATCCCAAAACCAGTCCAACTCGTCCCTGCCTCCCTAACCTGTTCTTCCTCCCACCTATCCCCTCCTCCCACCTCAAGCCGCACCTCCATCTCCTACCGACCAACCTCATCCCGCCCCCTTGACCTGTCCGTCCTCCCTGGACTGACCTATCCCCTTCCTAACTCCCTACCTACACTCACCTTTCCTGGCCCCATCCCCGCCTCTTCGACCTGTTTGTTTCCTCTCCACCTATCCTCTCCTCTATCCGCCTCCCACTCTCTCCCTATTTATTTCAAAACCCCCTTCCCCTCCCCCTTTTCTGATGAAGGGTCTAGGCCCGAAACGTCAGCCTCTCTGCTCCTATGATGCTGCTTGGCCTGCTGTGTTCATCCAGCCCTGCACCTTGTTGTCTTTAGATTCCACCAGCTGCTTTGATGGATTCAAGTCCATATCCTCCAAATATTCGCTTGAATCTATGGATAACTAGCTCAGCAACATTTCCCTTATGCCAGCATTATCACCCAAAGACAGTTACATTTGAGATAATTATCATGAAAGACCATGTTTTAAAAAAAAGAAAATTGGAGGAAAATGAGACTGGGGACTGTGGTGTGAAGGAAGTGAAAACACAGCCCCTCAGAAGCAACAGGATCATTGCAGCAGAAAATTTTGTTGTAAAAATTTTCATATATACACAAGCATAACTTAACACTTGGAAATCAAAACATTTGGCTAAGTAGACAGCTCTGATTAAAAGGCATTAACAGGAGAGCACTGATCCAAGATTTGTACAGAGTCCAGTGTAACAGACAGCTGGCCACATGTCTAGGTAATGGAATGAACAACTGGCTACCCACTACCTTTAGCACCTGTCTGTTCGAAAGTCACACTGAAGTCTGTTGCTAAACATGCAAAAACTCAAAACAGCAATGGCGTTTAGATCCCCTTTTAAATTTGGTCGGACCACATGTTTGCACTGTAGGATTGGTACTGAACAGCCATAATACAGCATTGCTAAGTTTAAAAGAACTTCGAGACTTTATTTGTGCAGTTCAAATTCTGTTCCGCTCAACATATACAATTCTGAACAAAAATAATTCTCGCTTGTTGATTTGAATTCAATGCAGTGACCAACGGAAATCTGAGTACCGAACGTGCTAAACAACAAGTTTTAAACTTTGGCGTGACCCAACGACTATGGACGAGAGAGTTATTGTGCTTGGCAACATGACAGGCTGAGCAGAAATGTGTCAATAGCGAAAAAACGACTTTCGTTTTGCAAGTGGGAAGTGGTGTCTTCAGCACGCCCATATAGACACAGACATACCAACTCAATACTCCCAATAACCTTCCTTCCCGTGAAAAGTGGGGCAGCCAGGGCGCCAAAAGGAAGGTTGCGCCAAGCCACCGACATTGCCTTGACAGTGTTTGTGCTGAATACAAGAAAGAGAAATACACAGCTGGAGAGAAAATATCCAGAAGCAGCGCCGATTTCAGCTCAGGGGGTGCTCTTTGGGACGCCTCTGTGCCCCTTTGAGAGAGGGGGGCCTTCAGAGTACCTGCACAGGCAGGTAAGGGCGCTGCTCTCATAACTGAGGAATTCAGACAAAGGTGAAACCTTCCACACTTTCACAGCTATCCCCCAAATTAGAAAACAATTCTAAAGGCAAACATAACAACTCACAAATTTGGTTTTCTTTTCTCCTTCCTCCAGGCTTTTCTTCATTTTACCGGACTTTTCCTTCCCCTTAGAAGGACCTGAAGCCTCATTCCTTCCCTCCATGGTTTTATTTATTTATTTATTGCTCCTGTGGTAAACTTATTTTCCTCTAAAACCTTTCGGTCTCTAATCTCTTGGATCATTCGGCTGCTCTTTCAATGCGGAGGGGGTGTTGTGGACTGTTCCTGTCCTTCTCTTTCGAAACCCCTCCCACTCTTGCCAAGCGCTGAAGGGCTGTCCGCCAGAGCCCGGGGCCTAGGCGCAGGCTGCCGGCTGCGATTCCTACTCGAGCCCGCTGAGCGCGGGGTGGGTGTGGTGTTGTAAGCCCCTCCCTCGCCTCACGGTACTTTTTTTGTCAGAATGGTAATGACATGCCGCTTCCTTCCAGAAAGTGGGCAAAAGAGAACAAAACGAAGGTAAAATATTGTGTATAATTATTGTAGATGTTTGTGTGCGAGACCAGGCCACGCTGCTCCCTCAGTGAGCGCCAGCTCGCGGGAAGGGGCGGGGCCGAGGTCGCGGGAGGGGCACGGGGGGGCGAGAAAGGCAATGCTGCACTCCTGCCGCAGGCACTGACACGCAATGTGAAACGCAGCCGGTTTGGTGTTTTTCTTTTCCTTTTCGAATAAAATGAAAGCAACTCCTTTCTTTTGCTTTATTTTCTTTATCCTCTCTCCCGCTGTGTCAGTTTCCGTTTTAGTTTGGTGCGGACGTGCCGGTGTCGGACTGGGAAGGAACAGAGCCAGAAGTCACACGACCACCAGGTTACAGCCCAACAGGTTTGTTCGAAATCACAAGCTGTTGGAGGGCTGCTGCTTTGTCACCTGATGAAGAAGAAGCGCTCGGAAGGCCTGTGATTTCAAATAAACCTGTTGGGCTATAACCTGGTGTCATACGAGTTCTGACTTTGTTTTAATTTAACACCCTTCAAAGAGTTTGTAAGACAGTTTAAAAGGGTAGGCTTGCCCACTTACAACATGAAGTTTAGGGTTACTGGACTCATAGAATCCCTACTGTACAGAAACAGGCCAACAAGCCCACACCACCCCTCTGAAAAGCATCCCACCTAGACCCATTCCCCTACTCCTGCATTTCCCAAGTATAACCCACCTAACCTAAACATCCCTGGACACTATGGACAATTTAGCAGAGCCAATCCACCCACCCTGCACGTCTTTGGACTGTGGGAGGAGACCAGAGCACTGAGAGGAAACCCACACAGACACAGGGAGAATTTACAAACTCCACACAGTCACCCAAGGGTAGAATCGAACCCAGGTCCCCGGTGCTGTAAGGCAGCAAAGCCAACCGCTGAGCCATTTATTTTGTTCTTATTTCATGTAAGTATAAATCTCAGCAACTCACCATCTAGGACTCTCACCAACTTTTATAGATGAACCATAGAAAGCATTCTATCTGGATGCATCACGGCAACTGCCCTGCACAGGACCGTAAGAAGCTACAGAAATTTGCGAACACAGCCCAGACCATTAGGCAAGCCAACCTTCCATTCATTGACTCTACCTACACTTCTTGATGCCTCGGAAAGTCAGCCATCATCATAAAAGACCCATCCCACCCCAGTTATAATGTCTTCCAACCTTTTCCATCAGGCAGAAGATATGTGTGTTTAAGCTATTGTATCAACAGCTTCAAGAACAGCTTCTTCCCCACTGTTAACAGACTTCTGAATGGACTTCTCAAATTTCAAACCAAATATTGATTTTGCTTTTATGCACCTTCTTTGCAACTGTAACATTGTATTCTTTGCTCTGTTCAATCACCCTATGATCTTTGTAGGCTATGATCTGTACTGTACTGCCTGTACAAAACTTTTCACTGTACTTAGGTACATGTGACTACAATAAATCAAATCAAAGTTGTCCAAACCTAAGAACTTGCAAAGCTGTTTGAAGACCAAGTACACTGCCAAACCGTTTACAACCACTTGCTTTATTTTTATCATTTTTACTGTTCAGATAAAGTTTATTCCTTTCTATATAAATATGGATCTGTCTAAATTTGAGTTTGCAAAGATCCTCTTGTGGTACAGACAGTGGTAATGTCCCCACTCCTGGACTGGGAGGCCTGGGTTTAAGTTGCACCTGTGCCACAGATGTGCAATAACATCTCTGAACAGGTTGATTAGGAAAAATAGTGTAATTAAAAAAACGTTTGCAAGGCAGTTTGAATGGGCAGGCACACAGTCCACCACTCCCAATCATATGATTATATTTTCTTTCCTCCTTTTTATTATTTGGATTAGGCTTATTTCGTTTTCTTCATTTTTTGTATAAATATAAATCTGTCCAAACCTAAGAGTTTGCCACAAAAACAGAAAGTATGCAGAAATTCAACAAGTCCTGTGTGGACTCAAAACATCTCTCCACAGATGATACCAGATTTGCTGAATTTCTCCGGCACTTTGTTTTTGTTTCCGATTTCTAGCATCCACAGTTCTCTCTGTTATTTAAAGAGTTTGAAAGGCAGACCACCTATCCACCTGCTTATATATTTTTCTCTAAATAACGCCTTTTTCTTAAATAACTCATTCTCCAAACTTGTGACAAAAAACAGTTTGCAATGCAGTTTGAAAAGACACTCACTACCCACCCACTTAGTCACCTGCTGATGTAATTTCTCTCCATTTTTTACAATTTAGATGAAATTTGTTCAGTTATGTAAATAAAAACCCCTCAACTTAAGAGTTTATAAGGCAGTTTGACTTTTTTAAAAAATTAGATGTTTATTCCATTGCCTTTGTTGTGAAAATAAATTTCTCCAAACACAAGGTTCTGTATTACAGAAAGGGCAAGCAATCTGGCTCTCCCAATTTTAATCAGTTACTTATATCTTTCTTTCAAAAATTAGGTTGTCTTTTACAATAAAGTGCCCTCAAACTTGTGAGTTTGCAGTATGGCTTAAAGGGCAGGCATTGCGCATTCACTTACTTAACTGTGAAATTGTGATGAATAAACCCAAAACTCCAGTTGTGGCAAAGTTGTCAGCCATTCCCACCAGCAGAATGGAAAAACTAATAAGACTTACTTAAAATCATCTAATGGCTATTAATGTATGAGAATCAACTCTTTCAATTTGCTTTTCTTTTAAAAAAATAAATATTTCCAAACTCGGAACAAAGACATCCGCAATGCAGTTTTGAAAGCACAACTCCTTATCAATAGCCTATAGTTCTCTTTCATTTGTTATACATTTTAAAGACAGCTTTAGTTTTTTTTAATTGAATTCTCCAAACTAGCAAAAATTCGAGCAATCCTACGGCATCATCTGGTAACATTTTCCTTTTTCCTTCATTAGTATTTTATTAAATTAAAAAGTACTTTGTTCTGTGTGTTTTTAATCATTTCACTAGTTCTCCTGCAATGTAATATTGAAAGGCACCTACATTCAGATATTAATTAAAAAGTCTGTTTATTCTTGATTCTCATTTAAATAACTCTAAGAATGTTTTCAATGTACTTTTGAAAGCACCGATGGTTCTTGGAAAACATTTATTGGATGATCACCAGATATTATTCCCTTTATTGTATTTTTTAAATCAATTGTTGCATAAGGTAATGGTTGACAAGTAGTTAAAGGTGATATTACATTAACTCCACCCATTCAAGTGAAGGCACATAGTCTGTGGTTGAAGATAGGCATTCTGCTCTGGCTTTCAGAGGGAGCAGATGCATTTGTACCTGCTTCCTAAGTTATGCTTGACCAAATGTAGTTGTGTCTATTGCAATTAAGCAATAAACCTTCTTGTTATTTAAGAAGGGCATCCCTTCTGAAGCTACGTCAAACAACCCTTACCTCGTACCACACTCTGGTAAATACACAATGTACCAGGAATGTCAACTGAGAAAATCCACAGGAAGACTCAATTTCTGTCTTTGTGTCTTTAGTAATTCCCCAAACGTATAGCAGTGTAATGAGAAAGTTCAAGCACTGCACCCACTCACTGCCATTACAGTTTATGATCTTCCCTTTTTAATTAAAAAGCCTCTCACTTGTTGTACTTCACGTTGCAAAATGCTGCAAACTTGCAAGAAGATCATCACACAGTGTGAAAACACAGGCACTGCAGTTACACCACTTGGTAATTAGTTTCAAATGCTTTTGTATAGAAAACTAACAATTAATCACCAGTAGATTCATTTACATGTACATTAATTTATTTCATTCTAGGTCTGCTTTTGAAAATACATTATCTTATTGGAAAATAAGATTCAGCACAGAATGAAGCATTGTCATACATGCAACTTCAAAGTAAGAGGGCATAGAGTTATAGAAAAAAAAAACATATATTTGTATAGTTTAACAATTCTCTTTCTGTTTCTCACTCCCCACTTTGCCATCTCAGTTTCACACTGTTTTGCATGCTCTGTTTTGCTCCTTCCAATTATCTGTGCCCTTTATGCTGTCTTCATTTCTTCCACTCTCTCACACCCTCTGTGTTTTGTTCTCTCAGCTTTGCCCTGTAGGTTGCACAATCTCTGATTGTCCATCTCTGTTCCACCTCTTTTTCGCCGCATCTTTTTCACCATCTCTTCTACTCCCTGTCTGTTGATTGACTACTCTTTTGCTCTTCAGTTTTTGCTTCTTGGTGTCTCCTCTTTTACTGCCTCACTAATTCTCCACATCTGTTTCTCCCTTGTTACTTTTCCCCTGCAGTTTCTCCCTCACTGTTTCACCCCTCTCTGTTTCTTTGTTTTACTCTCTGTGGCTCCCCCGCTCTGTTTCTTCCCCTCTGCTTCCCCCCACCTCTCCTTCACCCACTCTTTTTCACCCCTCCTGTTTCTCCCCTTCTGTTTTACTCCCTCTGTTTTACACTTTCTGTTTCTGCCCCTCTGATTGTCCCCCTTTCTGTTTCTCCCTCATTCTGTTATTCCCCCCTCCCATTTACCATCTCCGTTTCTCTCCAGCTCTTTCTAACACTCTTTTTCTGCTACAAAGTTCTTCTCTCTTTGTCTTACCCTCTCTAGCTCGCTCCCTCTGTTTCTTCCCTTCTGTTTATCTCCGTCTCCTCTACCCACTCTGTTTTGCCCCTTTCGATTGGCCCCTCTGTGTTAGTCCCCCACTCTTTCTAACTCGCTGTTTATCCTTCTCTGTTTTCCCTATCTGTTTCTCCCTCACTGATTCTCCCCCTCATGGCTTCATTTTTATTTCTCCCTTTATGTTATCATGTTTTCTGTGTCATCCTCTCCAAGGTTTGCCCTTTCTCTTGTCCCTCTCTGTTTCGCCTTGTCTCTAATTCTCTGTTTCTGCATCTCAATGCCTCCCTCTCTGTTTCTCCCTCCCTGATTCCCCTGTATCTCCCCGTCTGTCACTTCCCTTTCCGTGCTCCTCCTCTGTTTCTTCATCCCTGTTTTTATCTTTCTGGTTTCCACCTCTGTTTCTAATACTC